CTATGACATAACCTGTCCACACCTCTGCGTTGGAAGACGAGATGATGAATAAGAGTGCCAAGAGCTCATGGCTTTGACAGATGCAATGGTTGTACTAATGTCTTACCTGTACATCTTTATGTAAGGCAGACTTTACCGTTTGATGTGATTGTAACTGGTTTAGGTTTCTCTGGTGGCTTGCTGAGTGTACCCCTCCACGCCTGTGAGGCTTCCTGGGATGGCTGGCAGGTTGCAGTGGGTTTGCCTGAGTCTTAGGATGGGAAAAGTCACCAGTGCCTGTTGTGTTACCTGTCCTTTTCATTTTATGACCCTTCACCAGCAAGGTGTGCAGGTCCCACTCACCCCACCAGCAATAGCATTCTTTCTCAGTGGTAACAAAAGCCCTTCTAAAATAGGAACTGGATGTGTAATTTAAAACCTTTTTTCAGGAATAGCAAAGGATCCAAGGTATCTTTTCCCTTCAACACGGCCTGGGAGAAACTACCTTGTACCACTCTACTGCTAATACTCATTAAATTGGTAACAGTGCTTTGGAGGGGTATAGTTGGAGGTAGTCTCATGCACTGAAGATCTGTACTCCTTATGTGGCATTTCTGAGTTGTTCAGTGTGTCCAGGATTCATAAAGTCTGCAGGCAAAGTCCTTGTCTTTCCCCCCCCCTGCACTGAGCTCTCATGGACATGGGCTGCTGGTGGATGGCTGTTGGGGACCAGAGTGGCTCTCAGGTGCTGAAGGACTCCAGATGGGAGGAGGGGGGCACTCACCTATTCTGACTCAATGAATAAATAACTAACTTACTTACTTAAATTCAAAACCAAGAGGGCATTCACAGGACAGTGAGCGAGTAACCTGATGAATGAGCCTAATAATAACATAACTAATGTGGTAGCTCATTTGGAAACTGCTTGTCTTAACATGAGCTTTATGGACCAGAATGAGTATGATGGGCTTGACTGGTATCTTACAGTAGTGCTCCTTCTGTTGTATAAGCATTGTAAAGTGCTATATGGTTGGCACATGGGTACCTTCTCTTCAAACTTTAAGAAAAGTATTGTAACTGAAATTCATAGAATTATTAAGGTTGGAAGAGACCTCTAAGATCATTGAGTCCAACCATCAACCAACACCACCATGCCCACTAAACCATGTCCCTAAGCGCCGCATCTACATGTCTTTTAAATACTTCCAGGGATGGTGACTCAACCACTTCCCTGGGCAGCCTGTTCCAATGTTTAACCACTCTTTCAGTAAAGAAATTTTTCCTCACATCCAATCTAAACCTCCCCTGGCGCAACTTGAGGCCATTTCCTCTCGTCCTATCACTTGTTGCTTGGAAGAGCAGACCGACACCCACCTCGCTACAACCTCCTTTCAGGTGGTTGTAGAGAGCGATGAGGTCTCCCCTGAGCCTCCTTTTCTCCAGGCTAAACAACCCCAGTTCCCTCAGCTGCTCCTCATAAGACTTGTTCTCCAGACCCCTCACCAGCTTCGTTGCCCTTCTCTGGACACGCTCCAGCACCTCAGCGTCCTTCTTGTAGTGAAATTCATGCTAGATAAGCAATTCCTTCTTGAAATTCATGCTAGATAAGCAAAAGCTAATGTTTTCATGAATCTTTCATAATGTGGGTCTCAAACAAACAGGGATGCTGGAGGCAGAAACCGGCTGAGCACAGAGAGAGGGAAACATCCAGATCTTCTGCTCTTAAACTCAGAGGTCTCCAGTGATGGAGTCCTTCAGCCCTGACTGGGAGGGAGCACATGGGGTGCCTGGCTATGTACAGCGCTCGATTGCAAAGATAGGGTGGGTCCTTGTCTCCTCAGCCCCAGCACAGCAGTGCTTAGGCCTGCACCCCAATGCAGACCATGCAGCAGCTTATAGTGCTTAATAGCTTTGGGGGTTTTTTTGGGTTGGTGGGTGGTTGGTTGTTTTTTTAAAGTACAGGCTTCCACCACAGCAATCCAGGTGTTTTACTCTATCCAGGCTCAACAAAAATATGGCTCTTGCTCCAGGCTTGGTTTGTTAACACCACCAGGAGAGGTTAAGATGTGAGGAAGCTGGGCGTACAGAGCATCCGCCTGCTATGCACACATGTGCCCACAGGGAGCAGGAAGACGCTCTGTGACCAGACTGAATCAAAGCTATGCTTAGCAGCCAGGAGCACTGTACTGCAGCATTCTTGCTAAGGCACGCGCACAGCTGAAACAAGCTGTGCACGGGGGAGTTGGGTTACACAGAGAAGCAAGCTGACGCTCTCATGGCTGAGCATCTGCTGTGCCACAGCACAAGCATAGACCAAGTTGCTTGGGGCTACCACTGACTTGCTTCTGTGGAGGTAATGTTAGCTGAGGGTGTTGTACTGTGTCTCTGGTTCTCCTGAAAGGGGAGAGAGGGTGTGTTGATAATCAGCTTGCTTAGATGAAATGCTTTACTTGTGAAAGAGTATTCATACCTGGCAGATAAAATGAAGCTCTGACAAGAGAGTTGCGACTTAAGTCAGCCAAACTGAAGCCCAAAGCTGCAGAGATGGTTGCTGTATGATAATGCTAAGGTGTAAAAGCTTATGGGTTTTTGTTTGTTTGTTTGTTTTTCGCTGGTTTTGATTATTTTTTCAAACAAGTGAAGCAAAGCTGATAGTTTATGGTTATTGAAGTTAACGACTGTTATTAAATAGTTGGGGGGGATCAGTGTCAGTCTCCAACTTCTACAGCCTTCTATTGCTGTGCTATCCAACTGTATTTTTAGCACAGCGCATGGCTTACGTACTGGTACGCCAGCTACAGCATTGCCTCAAACGATGCCTGAAAGTAAGCTGCTATTGCTGAGGGTCGCAGGGCTAAATGCCTTGGGAAAGGTAAAAGACTGAGATGGTCAAAGACAAATGTTATGGCTATTACTTGGTTGCGTAGTTAAAGGTGAGGGGCAGAGGCAAGGACTAGATCTGAGCAGAGCTGGATGGATGCTGCCTTCTCCTCAGCTCTGCTACCAGGGGGTGATGTGCTTTGCTTTTGCTTCTTGTCAGTCCCCCCAGTGTAAGAAAGCAAGTAGCTGGGAAACCTGAACTGTAAAAGCATCCCCTAACGGACAATGGGGTTTGACGGGTAAGTGGAGGGGTGGGCTTCTGTCAGGGGACAGACGAAGAGTGTCTGTACAATGTGCGGGCATGTTGTTAAAGTGAAGTGTCTGATGTGAGAAAAGGGTCCAATAATATAATAATAAACATATTAAAAAAAACCCTACTGTGGTTATGGTGCAAGACTTTATTGAGCTTGAGTTATGGAACAGCATCTTCCTTGCACAGTAAGTACCCATGGAAGGGGACACGACGGGGGGTGTGTGTGTGTGATGACAACGACAAGGGGGGGCCCACATGTGGCAGAAAATGCATGTGTGAGTTGGGGTGGGTGCAGGGCACAGGAGTGCTGTGTGCAGGTGTGTTGGGTGAGTGTGCAATGGGCATGTGTTGTGTCATATGTGTCCATGTGTTCAGGGGACTGGTATTGTGGTTTGCGTCATCAGTAGCGTGCGTGTATGTATGTGGGCACATGCACGTGGAGTGTCCTGCGTGGAGCTTCACGCATGTGCAGTGTCATGTGTGATATGCAACATGCATTTGTGGTGTGTCATGTCTGCAAGCACATGCATGGTGTCATATGTGGCATCACAAGCGTGGTGTGTCTTGGGTGTGCAGCATATGTGGGGTGTGATGTGTGCAGCATCACGTGTGGTGTCATGTGTCATGCATGTGAGGTCTGACGTGTAGCGTCATACATGTGGGGTGTAATGTGTGTGGCATGTCCTGTGTGGTGTCACATGTGGTATGTCACAGGTGTGTGGCAAACATGGTGTTACATATGTGCAGCATACGTGTGGTGTCCCACATGTGGTGCATCACACGTGCAGCAGCATCACAGGTGTCTTTCACATGTGCGATACCTGAGTGTCTTGTGCTGCAAGTGTGCAATGCAAGTGTTGTGTACTTGCAAGTGTGCTGTGGTGCAAGTAGCACATGAGCGTTGTGTGGTACACACCAGTGTGTTGTGGTGCGAGTGTGCAGCAGGTGTGGGGGGTGTGCAGCACACAGGTGGTGTGGGGCACACACAGTGCACTACCCCACTGTTTTGTGACTCACCTGTGTGTTGCATGAGTAGCACACAGGTCCTGTCTCCACTGCGTGGCACCAGCGTGGTTTGTATCCCAAGTGTGCAGCATACACTACTCTGTTTTTCATGTGTGCATGAGTGGGTTTTGCCTCCAGTGGGTGTTGTGTGTTTTAGATGTGCGGGGGGGTGTGTTCTGTGTCTCAAGTGTGGTGTGCACATGAGGCATGCACAAGTGGTTGGTGTCTCACAGCTGCAGTGCAAGTGGTTTGTGTGTCACATGAAGAAGCCCCCCTGGGTGCCACTGAGGTTCTCCCCCACAGCTGCCCTCCAGCCTGCCCTGACCGATCGCATCCCCCTCCCTCCTGCCCAGCATGGGTGTTGTCATGGCTGGCTGCAGCTGTCTGGGGGTGAAACGCCCCGTTGGGGGGCCAGCCAGGCT